ATGCCACAACGCACATGGATTTAACTAATCTTAATTTGGAAGGAAAATAACAACTCCAAATAGATCAAATGCAAGTTTCTCAAGACAACCTGTGAGTGGGGTTTATCTCCAGTTTCCAGCACAAGCAAGTTATTTAGTTTCTTCCACTGGCCAAGCTAATAATTTTTYGCATTTATTTTATTTATTTATTTTTAAAGTCTGAAGCAAATATTCCCAGAGCAGCAATGTAAATCCTGAGACTCATCAGAAGCCCTTCTCTCCAATACGTCTTGGTCACTGGGCCCCAAACTGAAGTCCCTTCTGTACCTTGCCTGCTGTAACAACCCCCCAAGCTCCTCCCTGGCCACTCCCAGGTTCCAGAAGAAGACAGACAAAGCTGGCAAGGACATCCCAGCAGGGAGTGCCTGCCACCTCCCAGCCCAGGGGGATGTGCTACCTCCTGTCACTTGCTGCCTATCTTAGCACTTCTCCAGAAAACTTATGTTCTGGGTTTGTGGGGACGGAGGGAAAGCAAACTGATGAGTGACGGCCAGTACCCTCCCCGCTGCAGCTTCTTTGGGCTAAGGAAGGGGTGATACCCCGGAAACCTGAATGACCAGTGACCAGGCCCCTCGCCCCAGTGCTATTAATGGTGATGCTAGGGAAGCGTCTGGAAGAAACCGCTTAGAAATCCCAGGTCGGTACGCAAACGTTTTGCCTGAGAAAAGCAAGCCCCCTGAATGCTGCCAAGCGGCGTCCACACTTTCCTCGGCTCGGCTTTCTAGAAGCGTCTTGGTAGCTGCCTGTGGCTCCCCTGCAGGCTGGTGGGGTGTTTCCCAGCCCCATCTCATCTCGCCCTCGGTTTACCACTGCAAAGTAGGTGTGGAGGAGGAGACGGGCCAGGAAAGTGAGGCACCTCGCCTGGACGGCCAGCAGGTAAGGACACTAGGGCTCAACCCAGGAGACGCCCAGGCCCCAGCCCCTCCCCAGGGTGAGTCCAGCATAGAGCTGTCACTGTGTGACATCACGTGACAAAAGACACAGGGCAGACACGAACCGACCGCAGTGGATTCGCTCTGACAGCGTTTGTGATGGTGAAATCCTCAGACCCAAAGGACTTTTCCCCCAACTCTCAATGGGGAGCCCCATTCCAAAGAGACCTCCGCCGGTGACTCCAACATCCCAAAGTGTGTCAGAGCTGGGAACAGCAAAGCACCAAGAAGCAGCTCCTGCGTGCACATGGCTACGTCCACGTGTACCAGGCACAGACACGTCAGACATACCCAACCGTCGCCGGGTGTGGCGGCTCACAACTGTGACCCCAGCCACTTGAGAATCAACTGAGGCAGGAGAATCACAAATGCAAAGCCTGCCTGGGCAACTTAGGGAGACCCTGCCTCAAAATAATAATTTAAAAAATAGGTCTGCGAGTGTGGCTCATGGGTAGAGCACCCCTGGCTTCAACCCCCAGTACCCCCCCAACACACACACCAAAAAAAAAGAAAAAAAACCACCCAATCATCATTAAGTACCCTCACAGACAAGGAAACTGAGGCTAAGAGGTCGAGTCAAGGCCGCAGACTGGCGGGAGCAGGGGAGGCTCCTGCTTGGGCTGCGTTCTTTCCCAAGCTGCACAAGGCCTTCAAACGCCAAATACCAGGTCCCCTCCTCCCCAGTCCTCCTCAGAGCACCTCCCAGATAACTGCTCAGTGATTTCTGCTCTTTGCCACACCTAGAACCTCTCTCGTCTCCCCTCCCAGGGTCCAGGGAGCTCTGCCCCCCACACATGGACCTGTGCTCCAGCAGAACCTCAACAGGGGCAGGGAGAGGCCACAGGAAGGGACCTCGGGACACCCCCGACTCACCTCCAGGCCAAAGACAGAGCCACCCGCCCCCAGGTGGGCCTGGAGACACACAGCCAGGAAGCCCGTCTGCCCACAGCAGATGCTGGAGGTCTGGCCTTGGACCAACATCACACGAGTCAAGGACAGGACTGCCACCAGCTCACACCCGGCCACGGTCCCCACAGAGACCTCCTCTCCCTCCCCTGGGGGCTCTCCTCTCAGCCTAGGCGCCCAGGACAGGAAAGGGTCACAGGTGCTCAGAGAATGAATGGAGGCATGTCCTGCGGAAGACGAAGCTCCAGAAAACGCCTCCCCTCACCTTCCTATTTATCACGAGAGAAGGAAGGAAGGAAAGGACAGAAGGTGGACACGGGGCCCACACCCCCATGCAATGACYGACCCCGTTCCCACAGTGGTCCGCACCCTGGGGACTGAAGAACTTAGGCCAGCCCTCCCATCCATCTCTGGGGTCCCCGCTTCTAGAAGCACCTGCTAAGAGAAAAGCCTAGGTCCTGGCGGGGAAAGCAGAGGCATGGGATCAGCACGGGGGGACCCTCATGGCCACCTGGCCTTGGGCTCAGCCACACCAGCAGCCAAAGCCAGAGGTAGGGTCCCAACGTTTGCCAGCGACTGACCAGGGCCAACGAGGCCATAGGGACAACAGCAGCCCATGAAGCAGCTGAAGGACCCTTGGAGCCGTGGCCTGAAGGCAGGAGTYGAGGGGCCCAGCCAGGCCAGCCGTGCCAAGGGCCTGGGCAGCAGCTGTGCGGGTTTCCGGAAGCCCAGGCAGAGAAGCACCCATGATTCCTAGTTCCCCTCTTAAAATATAAAGACTCAATTATCTTTGAGCAGCTTGCTTTACACATGAATTGACACATTTATTTTACAATAAATAACTGAAAGTTATCTGTGTTTCCTTTACTGTTAATCTACACAGAGAAATAATAAACAGGGCTTGTCTTCAAAAACTGCAACGACGGCAGTCCTCAGAATTCAATTAAGCTAAAATAATTAATGCTCCCACCATATTAAATTACTTTATACATTTGAGCCACTGAAGTTTTATTCTTTAATCTTTCCTTTTTTATTAAATAAAAAAAAAAGGAACGAAAAGAAAAGTTGGTACCAAAGTAGGGAGGGAAATGGGAAGAACGGGGACAAGAAAGGAGCCCGTGATAGGCTGTTAAAATGGAAKGGTCGTCCGCCGCTGACACAGCGTGTAGACTGTGGTGTGTCTTTGATTAAAATAACATTTTAAATGCTTTGAACAAACATATCTCTTTAGACTTCTGAGGGATTATTTTACATATTTCTTCTAAAATGAAGAAATCCATTCGTCCTGTTGCCGAACAGAAAGGCCAAGAATATCTTTCGTCACACATAAAATAAAAATACTGGAGCCTGCTGCAGTATTACTACCCAAAAAAGGGGAAAAGAAAAAAAAAAACAGGGTGTAAGAGGGACCGAGGGTAAGGACAAAGCAGCCTCGGAGATCAGCCTTTCCTGGTATAAAATCATGTTGAGTCACTTTCTTAAACTCGCCATGGGGACCCAAAGACTCTCCTTGGAAACACCTTCAATGTGACATGAGAATTCAGGTGTTTGGGGGAAAAGCTGTGGGTCTGTGCATTGAGAAATAAATGGGGATCTCACCAGAGGCCACCCCTGAAAAATCTGTGGACAGTGACAGCGGGTGTTCATCCACTGCTGGAAACTGTCCCTTGGGTGGTAGGCACACAGTCACAGGACCCAGCACCCCTCTCTCCTGATGGCTGGGTCCCAACCATGCAGCATCACCCCTTGCTTTTGGGAAGGAGGATATGATCTCAAGCTGGGCACTCACCAAAAAAGCAAGGTGTGAGGGCCAGGCTGGTGCACCGGGTCTCCCACTGCCCAGCACGGGCCRCAGGAACCTCCAACGACCTCCTGGACACCATTGGCCACCTCATCCCAGGTGGGCAGAGCGAGGCCCCAAGTCACAAAGCTGCCACGTGCTGGAGATGGGCTTGCTGAATTACCCCTCCTGGGTCACAGGCGGGCCCTGCCACACCCACCTCTATCACCTCCAGTCCCTCCAGTGCCCTGTTCGGCCTCCAGGACCCACACGGTGGGGTCCAGCCACACAGTTTCCCAGCAGGCCACCTACTGGCATGCTGCAGAGCCACAGGGGACCCCTGGGAGAAAAGCTGCACTGGCAAAGGACTTGGGGACTCCCCCTGCATTAAACCCTCATCCTAGGCCTGCAGGGGACATCGTGCCTTGTTGACAAATGGGGAAACTTAGGCTCATGAGGTGACCAGCCCCAAGTCAACCAGCAGGATTCCAACTCCTCTCTGCCTGAGCTCTGATTCCTGTGGCACTCCAGGACAGGCTGCAGTTTCAGGGAACACGGCCAGGCCAGGGGCCCCTGTCTCCCACAGACCTCCCGGGCTCAGAAGTATGAACAGTCTGGTTTGCACGCAGAGCAGTGGCTCCCCGGGGGGGACCAGCATGCCATGGTGTGGCCAGGAGGTAGGACTCACTGCAAAGGAACCTTGCTGGGGGGTGCAGGCAAAGCCCCACACCTGTTCTGAAGGTGGTTAGACACGCTGTGCAGGTTAGCCAGGTGGCATGTCCAACCTCCTGAAGGGACACAGTGCTCCCTTCCCCCAGACCTACCCTGGGGATCAGGCAACGTGAGAAGTGCCCCCGCTCGGGGAGGCCTACCAGTCATGGCCATGCTCACCGTCTCCTCAGTCCTCACAAGAGTCCTCAGAGACCAGGGTCCCCTAGCCCACTTCACGGCAGGGCAGACTGATGGATCCCAGTTGTAAAGAACAGACTCCAACCCCAGACTGTCCAGCTCCAAAGCCAGGGACTGAGCCAAGATCACCAGCAGAGAGTGCACCACACAGACTCCCAGATCTCCACTCTGTGTTCCTGGCCACCTCTGGGTTAGGCCCCACCATTGAGTCCCCTCGCCAAAAGCAAAGCGCCCTACCAGGCCCAAGGGCATCCCTGAGCCTCAGGCCTGTCTCCTCCAGAGGGTCACCCYGATGGTGGGCCCTCGGAAAGGGGGAGCCCCAGAGGCCATGCTGGAAGCCCCCAGACCTCCCGCAGCACCAGCACTCTCAGACCAAGGGCGCGGGACCCGGGAGGCGGCCTCAGCAGCGGCCAGGTGAGCGCCACGTTCCATACCTGCAATGTTCTCCTGCTTGGGGCAGATGCCTTTCGTGGGCGAGAGCAAGTGGTCGTCTTCATCGGGCGTGACCTGGATCCCGATCTCTACCGGCTCCGACACCTTCCTGGGCTCGGGGCGCGAGGGTGGCGGGCTGCCCTGGTCCAGGCCTTTGCCGTAGCAGGCACCCAGGCCGCCGCCACACTGCTTCTTCTTGTGCTCTATAAAAACCAGGATGTCCCCCAGGGGGAAGTTCATCTGACACTGGCCACAGGTGAGCAGGTCAGGGTCGGGGCCACCCACCATCAGCCCCAGGCCGCTCGGCTCCTCTATCTCCAGACCCTCATCTTCCTCGAGGATGGCGGCCTCCACGTGGTCAGCCTCTGCTGGAGACAGGGGAGGGGCAGAGAAGACAGAGATGGGCTTAGGCGATCACAGGCACCCGGCGCTCCTTCCCCACCTTCCCTCCAAGAAGCAGACACCCTCTGCTGCCGGCTGCTGGGGCTCAGGGTGCCCTCCCCAGGACCAGGGGTTGCCAGCCCCCCAACCGGGCACTCTGAGGCCCCGGGAGAGACATCCGAACTCCCAGAGGGTACCACATGGGTGGTGCTGGTTTTACTGCTTCCTGGCGTGTTTTCTGCCAGTTTCTCCCCAACACAGCATCCGAACACACATGTACACACGCCCGTCACACCCGTCCTGGCGGTGAACAGTACCAGCTGGAGACGTCTCTCTCAAGCCTCACGGTATCTGAGCATCACCTGGGGAGCTTCGAAATATTCTGATGCCCAGGCAGCCGCACCCCGGCTCCATCACCGTAGGACTGAACATGAGCATTGTGCGAGGCTCCCCAGGTGACGGGTTGGGCAGCCAGGGCTGGGAAGCAGGGAGCCAGAGCCCAGTCCCCCTGCTTGGGCAGACCTGCCAGCCCTCCCTTCCCTGGGACGCTTCCATTCATGTTCCTGTCCTCCCATTCATACCCATCCTCCTCACATTCCTCTACCTGAGCCCTGGCCTCACACCAAACTAGGAAACAGAAACCCAGACGGGCGTGGAGGGCCGGTCCTTGTGAGAGAAAGAAGCCCACACGCTCAGAAAGCGACAAGTGAGTGTCAGGTTCCAAAAGCCACGGAAGGGAGACAGGATTGCTGCAGAAGGGCGCAGGGGCCAGGCGGTCGGCGCAGGGGAACAGGCTGGCCTGCTCCCCAGCACCCCTCAGCGCCCCTCAGCGCCCCATCCGCTCCTCTCTGCCCCTTTTTGTTGGTTGGTTTTACTTTCATGCTCAGAAATAGAAAAGAAAAAGAAAAAAAAAAAATTCTTCAGACTCCAAAAGCATTTCTTGGCAAATACCTAAGCACGTGTCCGATGGGCTGTATGTTTTCCTGTTTCTTTAGCCACCAGTATATTGCCTCTGGTGGTTGTCTTCGCAGGGACGATGCTGGGAAGGAGCACGGGACCTGGATATTCTGAAGCTAATGGATGCCTCAAAACTCAGCACCCTCTCAAGGGGAAACTGCAGAAGTCCACAGCCAAAAGTGTCCTCAATAGGGGGAAGTGGGTGACAGCAGGGTTCAGAGTCCCTGAGGCCTGAGCAGACTCGGCCTGGAATGTTCTGAGAGCAGGCGTCAGTGGGGTTGTAGGCGGGGCAAGTGGCAGGACCTTCAGAGGAGCCTGGGGTSTAAGGCCAAGGAGGCAGGTAGATCTGCAGCCTCCAGCCATGTGGTATTTAGGGAAGGATAATGAGAACCACAGAAGGACGGGGAGAAGGACTGGGAGGGAGGGAAATGCATTCCGTGGCAGTGAAGTTACCAAAAGGACGGAGCCAAAGAACAGATAATTTAAGGAAAAAATTCTGTGGCATCTTCCATCCGACATAGAAATCACTGCTCTGTGCTTTCTGAAGGCAGACTTTTGCTCAGGGCCCCGGAGAGCCCGTGGGGAAAACTCAGCACAGAAGCTGGGGCTGGTGACGTAGACCGTCAAGTCCGAACTGTGCGTGGACAGGGAGAGGAACAGGTATCGCTGAGAAGGGAAATCGCGACTGGAGATCCTGCCTGTGGTTACAGCAGGGCAGACAGGGCCCTTGATGAATTAAACGTAGAAATGCGTCAGAAAAGTGGCAGCACAAAAACACCCCGCAGATGAGGAAATCCTACATCTGCCGTCTGCAGACCTCGAACAAAAAGATCCGACAAGGTAAAGAAACAGTCCTCACAAAGCCGGTCCCACAGACCATTAATTACACTTTAAAAAGAAATCGGAGTTTACTTAAAAAGGAGTTTGGAGACAATGCTACATAATTAATTTACCAATTTATTTTATGAAAAGATGCTTTGCTATGGTTCAAATGTAATCACAAGCTTCCCGCTGAACAGTGGTTGGAGGGAGAGCCTAGAAGCCTGTGAACGGTTTGTCAGGACGTAAAAGGTAATTATTCGGTGCCTCTTTTCCCTTTAATGATCTAACATTGAGCAATACTGTTTATATTGAAAAGCTCGCACCTTTAATTACCAATTACATATACATAATTTCAGAGCCAAAGGAGAGGGCTGTGAAAACAGTTCTTTAGAAATATAAGGATGTATTGTGCGCCATTTCTAGAGAAGGAGCGCTAATAAATGGGAGGAGGATGTCAAAATATTGTTTTGTTAAAAAAAAAAAAAGAGAGAGAGAGAGAGAGAAGCACAAAGGAAATGAGCTGAAAAGAGAAAAAAAGAAAAAAAAAAAAGGACAAAATGAAATTGAGAATTCAAACGGAACAGGGGCAAGGTAGGTACCTGGTTCCCTTCTAAASGCCACCCCTGAGCAGCCTGGCCCGCTGCCTCCTGCACAGCACTGATAAAAACAACGTGGCCTCCACACTCCCGACTTGGTCGCCCTTGCTAAGTGCCAGGAGCTCTTTCTGTCTTCTAATTGACTCTTCAGCTGACTTTTTTATTGGTTTTTTTTTTTTCTGAACATTTACAGCCACGTGCACCTTCCTGGGTAGACGTTCTAGCCAGCCGAGAGACCTCCTCTCTGCTAGGAAGTGTTAAGCTACAGATGCATTTCCTAATTCAAAAGAAACACAGATAGATTTTGAAATTAGCAAAGGTCACACAGGCCTGGCCACCAGCATCCCTCGGTCTCCAGGCCTCCTTGGCCAAGACTCTGTACCAGTTCTTCTTCTTCTTCTCTCTCTCTCTCTCTCTCTCTCTCTCTCTCTCTCTCTCTCTCTCGGGGTAACATCTGGTGCTCCCTCCCTCTGTGTTCTGGTGTTCCCTGTCTTTCACCGCCCTCGTGAAGCAAGCCCTGTGAGCCCCAGTCATTGAGTTTGAAGGTCCCCAGTGCCAGTGCCATTGACGGTGCCACAGACCCAATTTCAGTGTCAAGTCCCTTCACAGCCAACCAGCCTGGGGAGCCAGGCCCTGCCAGCCTCCCTCAGGCAGCCCAAGACTAGCCAGGGCTCCAGGCTCAGCTCTGAACTTGGGTCTCCATGCCCAGACCTGGACCCAACTCACTGCCTCTGAGGGAGTTGGGAGGAAAAGAAATGAGGCCAAAAAAACCCCTCCCTCCTTCCCCTCCAACTTCCAGCCTTAAAAAATAAAACTCCCAAGAATTCAGCATGTCCACCCTGTCAACTCCACAGACTGGGGATTCCTCTCCCCACCCCCAGGCTGCAGAGCACTGAGCTCTGACCTGCTCCATGTGACACCTGGAGGGAAGGTTGCCCTCAGCGCCAGGCAGCAGAGTCCCCTGAACCCCAAACCACTCTACTTCTGGGTCAAAGCAGGTGGGCCAAGGCAGCTCAGGCCTGAAGCTCAGGGCCTGCAACGACACCCCAAAGACTGTGGTTTCATTTCCGCTGGCAGGCGGATACCGGGCTGGGCCTGTTGGGTGTGTGTCAGTGTTCGTGCATGTGTGTGTGTGTGTGTGTGTGTGTGTGTGTGTGGTGCAGGGTGCGTGTGTTCCTTCTTAGAACTGTACCGATAATGAAAGAAAGAAAGGGAGAAAGAACCACTCAGCCAAGTCCTGAGAAGAGGCAGGTGAGAAGGTGCTCCGTCCTCAGGAGCCCCCTCCTCTACCCTGTGGACACCTGGTTTATACGTGACCCCAACTCTGCACCGCCTCGGAGGTCCAAACTGCCACCAGAGAGGAGAAAGCCCCAGGAAAGAGAAGAGACAAATTAAAGCTGCCCTTCAAATCCCCAAGCCCCACAAACCAGTCCTCCTACAGCCACATCCAGCAAAGCTGGGCCTTAAATAATAGGGCAAAAGATATGGTGAGAGGTGCTTTTATGAAACTTCCCCAGTGTCAGGCGGCCCTGCAAAATAGCTCTGCTCTCTGTATACTATCAGCSAGCCAGCGATGGCAACAATGTTTGACTCATTAAGAGGAAAAATGAATGGACACAGCAGGCAACTGGCTCAAATGTCAGAAATCAGAGGGCTGAGGAGGCTTCTGAAATGTTCAGCCCTAAAGTGTATGAACAAATATATATTTCCTCAGGCACATGCATGTGTGTGTGTGTGTGTGCGCACACACACACACACACACACACACATAGTTTTCTTTTACAACAAAACCACATTTTATTTACAAGGCTAGGCCTCCTCCCAGCTGGTAAACGCGTTTAGAAGCAATGAAATCAAGCTTCACAAATAATAATGGGCATCGTTGTTAAGTGGAGGGGGAGCACTTGATCCCAAGACATACTTCCCCATGTCGCAGCTCTGCTGGGAAGGAATTTGGGGCAGAAGGCAGAAACGGAGAGACAAGGTTAACAGGGGCCCTGCGAGGGCTCAGCAAGGCCTCACCTGGCGAGTTCTTTCCCCCACATGCTGGGCTCCTGGGGCCCCGCCCGACCGGGTCCATCTCTAACCACCACCCCTGTACCTGCCCTACGGGGAATTCCAGCCAAGAGGTCGGTCACCTGCTGTCCCCAGAGTACAGGGCATGTGCACCGCTCCATATATGTGGGCACACCACACACACACACACACACACACACACACACACACACACACAGGTGCCCTGCCACATATACAGCACATAGGCTCCTGTTCCCCTTCACTCTGTGTCAATTCAAATCCAAATCTCTATCTTTAATGGCTAACAGTACAGAAGAAATCCAGGCAGAATTATTGTTTTGGTGATGGGGGGTGGGAGGGAGGGGTGAGGAGAGATGCACCAGGCTCTTAAACCCGGATGCCGCCAACGTCACAGCCGCCATCGTGATGTGTACTCGTGTTTACAAGAGATGTAGAGCATCCGTCGCCCGAGCTCTGCACCGAGGAGACTTTGCACCTGCTTCCTACGAAGTCGCAGCCTCTGCTCGCAAGCCCTTGCTTACCAGTAATCTGCAAAGGGATCTTTTTATTCTCTTCGATGTGAACGTTCAGGGAGG